TCTCTCTCTCTCTCTCTCTCTCTCTCTCTCTCTCTCTCTCTCTCTCTATGTGTCTGCTGGTCTCGATCGTAAAACAGTTTCCAAGAATATATCAAAACCGAACAACATTTCTATTGTCATTTTTTTCTGTTTTTGTTCAGTATTTGATAGTCAAATTAGATAATACGCGTGATTACATTTATAATCAGACACTCTATCATCTTACAGAAATGGTAGACAAAAAAGCCGACACATTTCAAAGGCATTGAATAGCCAAATCAATTTTGGGAATGGAAATGCGATGCAAAAATATGTTCGGCACTTTCTTGATCAAAACGATACCGTTTACGGCGTAAATGTTTACTAATGATTGACAACAATAATCCACATTCATGAGATAATGGGAGATATCGACGCAGTAGATCACTTTCCTCTCTTTGCACTGAGAGATATCAAGACTCAAACAAAAATTCTTCACTCTCAAAACAATCGGGAAAATTCCACACATTGCCCCGCATATAGAGAGAGTGAGAGAGAAAGATTCAAGCACAAACACATTGGCATTTGGCTAGTCAACAAAATATGATTGCGAAATGCGTTTGAAGTGGAAGCGGCGGTGGCACGATGGCGCGCGCATTCGCTCGTCACAAATCACTTCAAAATAGTTTAAGTCGAACGAGGTCATTTTTTGAATATTCTAACGGACTTTCACTAAACACACACAGCGTGCGCGTTACAGGTACCCAATATCTAGCCAAATGGGGCTTTTAAACGATCGATTCCATTCGGTTTTCTCCTATCAGTCACTTGATTAAAAGTCAGCAAAATATGCGGCTAAAAGTTGATTTCCAGTAGAATCGCAGCAAGTGAACGCGCACATGCGCTCAAATGTGCTCAAGAGATCGCTCGTTGGCTGGGGCTTGCGCGCGTACGCGCACAAGAGATGAAGTGAGCGGGAAATGAGGTATTTAGCGAACGAATATATATGGATGTGTGTTTTTTTTTTCAAGTCCTATGCTAATAGAAATACAAAACGCGATATCTAGTATACGCAGAAATACAACAACAGCAACAAAAAGTAAAATGTTAGAGTGTGTTATTTTATGTTGTTGTTATTTTTTTTTGTTCGCTGATGCCGCTATTGCCGCTGTTGTTGTTGTTTTATTTTTACATTGAACGGAATGCACATTTCAGTGCATATGCACGATGTATGCGCCTTTGGTCATAAAGTAATTCAAAATCGATTGCATTTATACCTATATTTCAATCACCATGCGAACTTTTGTGAATGTGAATTAACATTCAAATGCGCGAACCGTTCGTTTACCCGAGCAAATGAATTGAAAATTGAAGGAAAAAACACAGCAGCAGCAGCAGAAGCGGCGGCAGCGACAGATAGGTGAAGTGAGAGAGAGGACGATCAACATCAATACACAACAGGCACATAGATAATTGTACACAGCCACGACAAATATAAATATAACAAGCGCACTGACTACCAGCTAATATGAGTAACAAATAACACACGATATATCGCGTGGTTGCTGCTTCTATAGAGTTGTTGTTGGCTCTTTTTTTTTCTTTCTATAAATTCAACACACCTTTGCCGTTTGGTACTTTGGCAAAGAGCTGGCGAGAATTGCACACACCATAAAATCCAACGCGCTCGCTCGCGATATTCTTGTTTCTGTGGCCGACAGGGAGATCAGCGACAAACAGACAAAACGAGCAACACGAGACTAGAGCGCGAGCAACGAGAGAGAGAGAGATGGAATGTTGTGGAATTTCAAAATAGTGCCTGCAAATAGTGTATCTCTTTCGCTTTTTGTTGTTATTGTTTTTGCTGCGAATTCGGTAAATTCATACGCCATGCCAATGCTATGCACTTTACCCACTAGCTTTTGTCTTGTGATATAATTGACATTTAGCGTCACACACTCTTTAGAATTCCGCCACCGCCGCCGTTGTTTTCGTACACTTTTTGGAATCTCTTGCATCTTTTGGACCGCATATTATTGCAAGTGCCAAACAACAAGCAACACACTGTGGCACATCTCATCTTGATATTGCTGTTGCTCGTTCGCTCTTCTTCTTCTTCTGTTTTGCCTGAGACTTCAAAAAAATTGCAACACGCTTCATCTTTGCCATATCCATTTTATATCTGAATGCCCCCTCAGTTGCGCGATATGCTCAAGGAGACATAAAACTATGAAAAGAACACGCCACAAAACGCGATGGAAAAAACACGCGCTTTTTTCCACTCGAATCGCGAGAGAAAAATTCACCGAAGTAGACATAGATAGCACACCGAAGAAGCAGAAAGTAAAACAATTCTGAACGTGTACATCAGAGCATGAGCGCGCGCTCGCGCTCGTAAAATCCATTCAATTAATTTGCATTGGAACTGACTGTGTGTATGTGTTTTTTTTTTGACCGAGCTCATTGAGATAAGCCAACTATATATTTATCATAAAACGAATTATGTTTGATGTGGTTGGACGTTGCATATGTAATCATGGGTGAATGAGACAAATGGAGTGAGCTTTCTAAAACAAAACAACATCGATCGGTGTTTTCTTTTCCATAGACAACTAAGGGATTTTTTCGGGCAACGATGACACGGCCAAAGCATCGGAAAGCAGATGTGATTTGGGAAAATGCGAACGCTTAATTTGAATTGTGCTAGGTCGTTAAATCGGCTTAAAAATGCTAATTTTGTCATCGTTTCGATTTCTTTCTAGCTATACACACGGGTATTCGTGTTGTTGTTGTTGTTCATAGCGTTGGGTATGAGTTTTTTTTGTTGTTGCTCGGCTTCTTCTTGGCGATTTGAAAGTTTGCCATAAAATCAAATCACATTTTTCATCATTTGATTCTCGTTCGCGGGCGCACGTCAACTATCTGGGCTCAGCGCGATTTTTGGCCGTTTTTATTGTGGTTTTTTGCCTTCGTATTTTGCCCGTTGTTTATTGCCACGAAATTTTGCATGTAAAATTTTTCTACTCCTGCATTTAACCACGCTCGAGCACGAAAAAAAGACAACCAGCAACAACTGAGCTAGAGCGATTGGAATGAAGGGCGTTAAACAGTTGCGCACACTTTATACTAATAATTTGCGCAACGTTCGCCGGCGAATCGACAAAAGAAGAAGAAGAAGAGGGAGAAAAAAATTAATATTCAAATGCATATGTAAATATGGTTATTATGATTTTGATATGCAAAAAAAATATATAAAATGAAAGAAGAACACACAAAAAACTACACCGATTTACGTTGAAACGTTGCGGCTGTCTCTTCTTCTTCCACCGACACCTTCCACCGACACCTTCCAAAAATTCAAGCATTCTTTTTTCCCGACAGTGTTTGCCGTTCGTTTTTTTCCCTTGTTGTCTTCTCTCTCTCTCTGTCGCTCTCGCTCAATTCACAAGAATTGAAAGAAAAAACACACACAAATTTTGTGATTTTTCTGTTCACAATAAACATTCAATACGAAATCAAATCTAATTTTAGTGCATTCACCTATGAATCACCATTTGTGTGCCGAGAGATGTTAAAGGTGTGCCGAATAAGTAGGCAAACAACAAAAGACGCAAACGATGGGAGAAGAAGAAAAAACGAAATAATTTTATAAAGGTTTTTTTTTTCTCGGATTTTTATCCACCGAGATGAATTACTTGATTCATTCCTTCGTCGTTGTGTGTTGTTTATTTTCCTTTGCTATTTGCAATTGCCATCACAATCGGCTGCCGTTGATCATCAACCAGCTTGTTTATTGGGTTGGCTGTTTTTCCTTAGCTGCCACCGTCGTCGTCGCCACCTCATTTGATAGGCATCGTCGTCTATTGAATTTATGGGTCTACCATTCTTAAAAATCGAAAACACTCAATCTCTTGTCTTCGTCGCCGCCGTTGTCGTCGTCGCAAATTGGGACAACATTTTAGCTCGATGAACACATCAAACAGCGAAAATTCACTGTGGCAATTGTGACATTTCCAACTGAAATCTGTCTCAGTCGTGAGAGCACATTTTGAAATGTTTCAAAACCATTCTCAAACCACCGAACAACCACTGTAATATTTGGCCTGCCTAAAAAAAAGGACACACCACTCTCGAGCTTGGAATACATTCTTGGTTTACATACTTGGCGGTGGAAAATTTTGGCCATACACATTACTTGAAACTGACACTGATAAAATGTAACGCTTGATATCTGATGCGTAGTAAATTTGTTGAAACAAATTTTCGACCAGCATCTTTTGAGCTTTGTAGCGTTCTCTTTCTCTATCGACGCTTCAAATTATGAAATTATCACAAAAATGTTTATTGATCGTAATTTATTCGATTCGTGTTTGGTCCGAATCTTTATAGCACCCAAATAAAAGGAAAAAAAATGCGCTTTTATTTTCCCGTTACGCTATGCGTTTCAAGATTATGTGCAAAAATGCGGTTAATAATAAACGGTTGGCATTGGTTTCGCGCGACCATTTCGAATACGAAACATATATAAATACACACACACAGAGAGAGAGAGAAAGAGAGATAGAGAAAAAAAAGTGTAATATCTATCTATATTTCGTATGCAAATGCCTAGGCCGTTGGGTAATTATCGTTAACTTTCCCTGGTCTTAACACCTTTGCAGCGGTAATTATTCCGTTGCTTCGTAGTTCATTCACCAAAGCTTTCATTTTGCAGGCAGGCAGGTGGGCAGCAGTAGCAGCAGCAATAAGCATTAAAAACCACCAGCAGCAATAGCAGTAGCACTTGCGATGCAAATATAAAATGGAAATGATGAATGGAAGAGACGAGCAGAGGAAAGACATAGAGTGAACAGAAAAAAAGCACACCAGAACACGAATGTTGTGGAGATTCCTTTGCGACACAAATCCTTCATAAAATTCTTATCTTGGTCGGTTGGTCGTTATTCATCGCGCGAGTGGTATACGAAGTGGCGCATCCAACCCTTTTCGACTCTTGGAAATGTGTGTGTTATCTTGCATTAGAAGATGAGAAAAAGAGCAACATCAAAAAATGGGGGGCTACAACAAACTGCGGCTCACTAGCAATAACGATAGCAAATTTTCTGATGTGCACCATTCGCAACTCGGTATGTGTCTTATCCAAAACGGGCAGACGACGGCTGTATGATATTTTTCAAGCCAGACTCCCCGAGCGCAGAGCAAAGAAGTTGAAAAAAAAAACTAGAAAAAAAAGACACCAGCAACACCACCAGCACTGAATAAATGTCGTACAATTTGAGCGTATAGTTTGAAAACTGCGACCGAACTGAAAATGTAAAGGGCCAAAATCGTGCAACCGCACATCGGTTTGTGTCGTCAATTCCAAAATTGTGCGACAACAACATCGAGATTTCATGTGTGATTTTGAGCGCTCGTTCTCGCTCGCACACACTCTTTCACTGGCAATCGGGCATGTTCGATGAATTAGCATCATGCATTGAAATGCAAACGACGATTAGAGTGATACCGACTGTAAATATTATTTCGCCCGATAATTTGTACATGTATTGTTCACATTGCTTCGGTGCTGTGTACTGTACTGTACTATGTGTCGTTGGCTTTGTTTTCTATTCGCCTTTTGTTTGCGAGAGTTCACAAACGTACTTTGCACATATAATCAGAGTGAAACTTTTCTATCTATCACTTCAATATATATGTTGACTCTTTTTCTCTCTCTCTCTCTCTCCATCTATTTGGCGTTGTTGTTATTGTCATCGTCGTTGCTGTTGACGCCGTCGCGGTCGTCAATTTGCATTCCGAAAAAGAGTTGCCCTTTATGGGTTATTTTCGATGGTAAAAGCTCAAGTGAAGTGTCCATATTTTAATTCAAATTTCAATCGAAACGAGTAAAGGTGTGCGCGCCTGCTCGTTCGTACGTTCAATCGTTTTGCTAGAGAGGCCATCGATTAGCTCATTCATTGTGATTATTATCGTCGTCATCATCATCATCTTTATTGGAATGCGAGTTGCACGGATCATATTCAATTTTCACTATTCATGCCGTTGCTATTTCGAATGTTGTATGCTTCTATCTCTCTCTCTCTCTCTCTCTCTCTCTCTCTGCCTCCACTGTGCTCTCTCACGTCGAAACTATTCTTCCTCAAACATTTTTGTCATGGCGCAATCCAACGGTTGTGTTTGTCATTGTATTTCGTCAGACAATTAATATTATCAGCAACTAAATATACATAACGAACAACAGTCAGCATTTGCATTTTTTTATTCGTCGTCGTTTTTATCAAATCTCAATGTTGTTTAGCAAATACACACACACACACACACACAGAGAGAGAGAGAGATAGATAGATAGATAGAAAACCGATTATTTCTTCTAATTGTTGGTAAATTGACACAAAACGACTCATTAACCAAAGCAGTAGACCCAAAAGAATCGCACTTTTTTTTTCAATGAACGTCTCGCGCGCGCACACTGTATGTGTGTCTGTATGACACACATACAAACAGAAATGAAAACTAGTCCACACATAGATAGAGAAAAATCGTTCGACAACGTACACGACCACGGCTATGGTGTATTGAATGAGAAAATAATGGAAATAGGAAAAAAACAAGTGAAACTTCATGATTTTTAGAATTGAACCAAAACGGAATTATTAGTTGCTTGCCCATAATTGACAGTGCGGATTCAGAATGGAGCGCGAGTCATTGAATGGAATTGAAAAAAAATATGAATCGAGTGAAATTATTATTGTCACTCGTTAAATATGGTAAATGTTGTGAATGGTTGTCGTCTGTCGCCCATAGCCATTATTTGTCGTCATCGTGGACGGTAGCTGTGTCGCTGTTTTGCCGTGAGGAAAGAACATTTTGTGATCGGTCGAATGAGGAAGAAAAAAAATCAACAACTAAATCCATCCCGAGCGGTTACGTGAATATATGTGAACGAAAAAAAAATTCCAATGCAATTAATGTCGGCTGAATTGTCACCGTTGAACAGAAAAAAAACGAGAACTGAATGAGGCAATCGATGCAATTGGATTTGGGTCATTCGTAATGCTCGCTCTCTCTCTCTCTCAGTTCTATATTTATGATCGGAGCGATTAGTTATGGTGAGAGGCGGTCAAACACTCGAATATCGCAATTGTTATCCATCGAAAATCGTATGATTGCAATGGGGCGCACGATATCAGACACAGACACAACCACAGCCATTGACACACACACAAACATGCCGACAGTCGGGTGTATAATTTTCTCGTTTTAATTCGAATGTTTACCCAAGTTCTCAGTCACAACAAAAACTAATGTAAACAAAAACCTGATTCTCAAACAATTCAACAGGTGGTTATGATGTTGTTTATGCTGTTGTGTGTATGCGCGAGCGCGCGGGCAAAATGCTAGCTAGCTCACCAAGTGAAACTGCAGAAAAATTTCAATAAACCACAAAAATAGTCAGTCGGTCACAAGTACAACTTACACACATACATACAAGCACCGACATAAATATAGATTCGGGATTGAGAGCGAGAGAGAGAGAGAGAAGTGATATAGAGTGAGGCCTCCAAGCGTTTTATTTTCCACCTGAATAGTGCGCTCACGCGCTCGCGTCCGCAAAAGAGTTTTGTTTGTTTGCACGATGTCGATGTTCATTAAACATATCAGCCATCTACCATTTAACGAGCATTATCGTAATATAGATTTTTTTTTTGTTCATTTTCGTTCGCAATGAACTATTTCAAATTACACCTTTATAGCACATTAATTAAGACAACCTAACGAGCTTACCGAACAACAGAAGCGCTGGTTTTGACGTACACAAATAGCACATTCGAGATCCAATGGTAATGTCATTCTCATTCTCGGACCTGAAACTTTCGCACTACGATAACACATCATTGTGGGGCCATTGTGTGTAGGTGGGATGTGAACGAAAACAAACAATAACAACCGAAACAAAAATCAACAAACATCAAAATATTTCGGTTGGTGTGATGGTGTAAATTTTCACTGCTTATCACTTAACCACTAGATGAAAATGGGCAGAGACTATGTGTTGTAATGTCAGACGAAATACAGCCTGAGAAAACTATAATTCATTTATTCACATGATTCTCATCACATTCACTTCAACAGAAAAAAATAAAATTAATGCAAAACACTTGCCGTTTATGGTTTGGATCAATCAAATTATGGAATTTTGTCGCTCATTCGCGATCGAGCAATAGAATGGAGGCAAAAAAAAGACAAAAAAACTGATGAGCCAATCTTGTAAATAGTGAACGCGCAAATATTTATGTTGTTCTGTACGTGAAGACGAAGAGATGAGGCAAACAACGGACCAAAAAAAAAAAATAATAATAATACAGATAATATGAAAGAGACACACCGAAAAGAGGCTGAAAAGAGAGATAGAGAGCATTGTGCCGAGCTACAGGAATGTGCTGGAAGAATGTGTGTTTACAATAAGTTTTGTTTCCCTTCCCTTTCCGTTCCGTTCTTCCTTCCATCGATTCATTCTGTTCTTGTTTGGTTGCCGTTTTGCGTGTTTGACAAAAAAAACGATATTTTTGCGCATCTCATGACTGCTTTTTTTTCTCTTTCGTTCGCTCGCTAGCTGGCATCATTTTAGTTTTTCATGATTTTGGTAACAATTTTATTACAGCCCAAAAAGAGAAGTAATAACAGCAACGAGCAAGCGAGCAACAACGAAAAATGAAAAGAATCTATTAATAATAATTTACGCTGTGTGCATACTCTGGTGTGTATGTGACGTTGTTTGGAATATTGTTCACGTTATCTCTGTATCTCATCGTATGCGCCTCTCGCTCAAATTGTTCGCGCTCACTGCTTTTTAATTTGAGCGAGCTTTTTTACTCGAAATTCTTTCGTATATGCAACAACAAACAGACACTTGTCTACTGTGATTCGGTTTATTGCGGGTCATTTAATTAATGTTTAATCGAATGCAAATGGCACAATAAAATGT